GAAAGAAAAGGAATGTAATAAACTACGTAGGTACGTAAATATATTTCCCGTATACAACATTTCGACCATCAGTTTAAAAGAAACTATTCTGTACAGCTTAGAGCGTTTCAGATATGTTATCTAAGAAGCATTAAATCGCAATTAAAGTAGGAACTAAAGAGATAAACATTTAACCCAAATGAATTAATCGTGGAAAGTCTCCATATACGGAAGTTTACAACTGGAAGACGCAAACCTCAAAGCGAGAGGACTACGCAGATCACTCTTTAATGGTACCAAAAGACAATGAGATACCCTTCGCATAGTTTCTATAGCAAACTACAAACTTTGCAAGTTAAATAGTGCAAAGTTGCACAATTTTCCCGCAAGCCAGTTTGTCCATTGTACTTTCGCTTGATAAAAACTTCCATTAGTTTTATGTAAATCTTTTATCTTTATTTTGTACCCCTTTGAGGATTGGTTGGCAATTTTCTTTTCATTTATCTAGCAAATTGCTAAACAAACAAGTGACATTTCTTATTGTGTGCTTTAGCTGGTTTAGGCTAAACTTGCTAATTGGCAACTGCTATGTATTATATAGTGTAGTATAGTTTATAGTGGGTTGAAGTAACAAAGGCTTTAACTCCAGAACAACGTCTCGATTATTAACACATATGTATTTGCGATCATTATAAATACATATACAATAACACAATTTTTGATATTACATACATTGTGTAGGCATTTGCCTTATACCTAAACACCAGATTTGATTTAACACTGAACGCTGGTTAGCCAAGGTTTTTTTTTATATAACAGGAGGCAAACGAGCAGGAGGCTCACCTGATGTTAAGTGATACCGCCGACCATGGACTGCCAGAAGGCTCGCAAACGCGCTGTTGGCCTTTTAAGAATTCGTACGCTCTTTTCTTAGAGAACTCTTAGTCGAATTGGTTCGAAAATACTTCAGTGGGCAGCTGGTTCCGCAAGTTGTGGTGCGTGGCAAAAATTGCCTTAAGAAACGCACAGTTGTGGAATGAAGGGTCATGGTGATACAGATGGTATTTTGTATTCTGCCTTGACGTCCGATGACTGTCCCGTCCGTCACCGTCCGGTGGGGTGAAATATATTGCCAAACCGCAACGCCCGTGTCTGGTATAGTAATTTGTATGTAGCATGACGTTGCGGCACCGCTCCGGCGCCGCACCGCACCGTTACCGCATCGTGTGGACGCGCTCTTAACGGCCAAATAGAATCGCCACTTGTTAAAATACACATACATTGGACATGTTATTGAGAAGTCACTTCGACTTTATTGCATAATCATTATAGTTTAATTTCGCATACATGCTTTCAAAGTGATTTAATTAGCTTCTGGTTATTAATGTGAAGGATAAATTGAATAATTGCGGTGTATTATTTTAATTGAGTTTGTATATCAGTTGGAATACGGCCAGTTTTAAAGGAAATGCTTTTATCGATACGGGCAAAGACAAAGTCTTTGATGTATAGACAATTGGTCAAATACTTTCATTTATTAATCTTTAAATATAAAAGTGTTGATTTGTTTTAAACTACTCTTAATACTTAGTATTTTACGAGCAAATATATTATACTAACTGACCCGGCAAACGTTTATTTTTCCAGGTATATTATTTCTAGGAAACATATTTTTAGTTCAATAAATATAACCATCTACAATAATAAAAAATAGGGGTTGTTCGTATTAAGGGTTGTATGTATTTTTGTATGCTATATGATAAAAAAAAGATTTTGGGGTGGACCCCTTAATTAACATTTAGAGGTTTGTAAGATAGATAGTAGCCGATTCTTAGACTTACTGAATATGTTAAAAAAAATTTATAAGAATCGATCAAGCCGTTTCGGAGGAGTAATCGAACTAACATTGTGACTCGCGAATTTTATATATTAGATGAAGCAATCTTATAGATATATGAAACAAAAGTTAGATGTTTTTAGTTACTAATTTAACCTATTACTAATTCATTTATGGTAAGGTACATGATATAATGATGAACCATTCAGCCTTCTTAAAATCCTCAATACTTTCACGCTATTTCAGATAATTCTGTGTGATTTCTGCAGTAAAACTGCAGTCTATCTATTACATAAGCTTCGGAATTACTAGAAGACCTATGCGTGTTATACTCAAGCGTTTAAGCAATTTCACGATATCAATTATAATAATTAATTAACGATACTTAACACCAAATCGTAGTACGGGTGTATATATTATCTGTAATTTGCTTGCCAAAATTAGCTTAATTAGTCTTTATATAAAATGTCAAAATAATCTGTAGTTACTATTTATTAATAGCCAATAATAACCATGATAATTGACTGCACCAGATCTTATAAAAAAGTATTTATGCTACTAGATTACTTAATACTAACATAACACACTTATTTTGACTCATTGTATACTTTAAAGAATAATATTTTTTTATGTAACAAGGCAAACGGGCCGAAGGTGTTACGCGATACTTACTACCATCACAAGGATCGCAAGTGCGTTGCCGGCCTTTTAAGAACTGGTACGCTCTTATTTGAAGGACCCCGATGATTGATGTTTGTCATTGATGTTGTTATTCGAAGGCTACGAAATCGAAGTTAATTTTAGTTTCGATTATAAGGCAATTTCGTTACGTGAATAGCACTATGGGCCCGTGTCCGGAACTTCCAATTAGTCTCATTTCAAGCCTCTCAGCTTATCATTCAGATAGTTCAGTGAAACCTTCTTTTTATTTATTCACTTACGGTACAAAAATATTATTATTTACTGATTAGCTATTTAAACGAGGAAAAACAAAAGTTTTCGGAAGCATTTAGAATCAAAATACGCCAGTAACGGCTAAAAATATACACAGACGTACACTTCTTATAACTTATAACTGTGACATAACTGTAGTTAAAATACATTTCAGTTTCTTAACTCTTATACCATACATTTAAATTATTAGGTTCAACTTGTGAATTTACCACGCGCCAAAAAGTCCTGCAACTCAATTCTATGAATATTACTAAGTATTTTTATTTTGAGCAGTGTCGGCCTAGTGGCTTCAGCGTGCGACTCTCATACCTGAGGTCGTATGTTCGATCCCCGGCTGTGCACCAATGGACTGTCTTTGTGCGCACTTAACATTTGCTAGAACGGTGAAGGAAAACATCGTGAGGAAACCGACATGTCGACACAAAAAGTCGACGGCGTGTGTCAGGCACTGAAGGATGATCACCTACTTGCCTATTAGATTAAAAATGATCATGAAACAGTATTCTTAAGTATTAAATATTCACAGTGCAAATTCTAGTACCTATAGACAGAGAATCTACTTCGTCCTGTTGCCAAAAATATATCAACAGAAAAACAGCGTTGAATTCACTCCCCTTTTGAGTACATACATATATATCGAACACCGGGAAAACACTCAATGCCAGAAGGCTCGCGAGTGCGTTGTTAGCCTTTGAAGAATTGGTACGCTCTTTTCTTGAAGGACCCTAAGGTCCTTTTTTATGTAATAGGAGGCAAACGGACAGGAGTCAACTGGAAATGATCCCTACACTCAGTGGGCAGGGGGGCGTGCGTTGGCGGAGTTCGAGAATTGGTACGCTCTTTTCTTGAAGGACCCTAAGTCGAATTGGTTCGGAAATACTGTAGTGGGCAGCTGGTTCCACATAGTGGTGGTGCGAGGCGAAACCTGCCTTAAAAAACTCTCAGTTATGGAACAATGAACGTCGAGGAGTTACGGGTGCCATTTCGTATTTTGCCTCGACGTCCGATGATGAATTCAGCTGTAGGTATTAATCCGAACAACTCCTCTGAAGTCTCACTCTCTAAGGTAAATGCGAGAGCAGATATTACTTAATTCTTCGCACCATTAGAATGAACGTAAACATTTTATATTAATTCGTATAATTAATTACAACTTGGGTTAAATCCTTTTAAGATAAGGCTCAAACGAAAAGGAGCAGTCGATTATCTCAATACAGAGTTAAATGTAAATCTTAGAACAAAGCCGAATGGGCCATAAGGCCGCTTCGTTGATAAATAGGGTTGTCAACTGCTTCGAGAGCCCGAGATAATTGGAAAATGCAATTGTGAGAACACTTTAATAGAACACAGTTATTGTTTGTCTAAATAATATTAGTGGAATTTTGTTCGTGTATAATATTTTTTATTTACACATCGTAAAGAGTTGTAGTGTCTGTTAAATTATGCTTTAGTTAATTTTGTATCATATTTTCAATCGAATAAGATAAATAAATAACATAACATTATACCAGTGTTGCTGCCAAAGCATAATAGCATAATGCTAATAGCATATGTTTTCTTCTTCTTTTTTTATCTTTTTAAATGGTCTCTATACATGGCCAGATATTGATTGTTTTATAATCGCGAAATTTTGTTTCTGAATTGCGCGTAATCATTTCGCGTAGTATAAATAATAATGCCAATAAATAAAGAAAGGAATACCGTTACATTTATTTTTATCTTTGGTTAATAGGCAAGGTATCGGTGGCGGGAGGTAACATATCATTCAGTTTCAAACGTAATATCAAATTATTTATATCACCTTGATGTCTTTCACTAATCAAACGATCACCCCATTCCTCAAAGACATACACCGAATATTTTTCGTTAGTAAAATTTTATTCCGGCGTTAAGAATATTATACGTAATTTAAATTCAAATCGACAGCCCTGCTGTTAAAGGAAATTCCAGCAGATATTCGGAGCAAATTTATCAAAAGGTTATGTACAAAGGGCCATGTAAATTAATTTCATGATCCTTTGCATATGAATAGAACGTTGACATTGAAGGAACTCGAACTACGGGATGTTAATTTCTCTGTAATTCCGGCTAATAAAATTGTCAAATCTCTTTGTGAAGTGACAAAAGAGTTGTAAAGCTAGCTTACAAATGCTTTCGAAGCGAGAACGTAATTAAATTAAAATTTATTTCTAAGTTGATCAACCCCGAATCCATCTGCATATACCTCCTCGCTTAATCATACAAACATAATCATATATTCATAACAACGTACGACAAATTAACAAGAGACAAACCCCTATAATATAGGGCCTATATATTATGAAAAAGTCCTTCTCCGTGATAAATTTAAAAACTACTGCGAAGATACTTATGTGGTCTTCATGAATACATGAGTTTATGGTACATTTGTAAATGTTTATGGGTCATGGGTACAAGTGCGAAGTAGTTTCGATCGCAAGTAAGTCTTAAAATTACAGTATACTACGTCCGATACATGGTGTAAAATTTAAAATAAGCTGTAATGATAGTTTTTTTCACTAGAACCAACCACGGATAACATAAATCACTTGAGTGAAATATAATCTGTTGGAAACAAATTTTAAAGTCCAAGTCAGAAGTACGATTTAAATCATATACCAAGAAGTCATTTAAGTTAAACAAAAAAGCTTTTACGGTTGTAGCTATTACGACTGAAGATAGCATGAAACAATAAAAAATACTCGAGAAAACTTGGAAACAAATGCACAATTTTCCTAAGTAAAGCATCAGATGCGGGTAAAATGCGTTTATGTTCTTACATTTGCTTTCCTTTTTAAACTTATGACGAGATTTCTACTCCCAACAGGGGAAAATGTCGACTATTTTATTTGAAACAATAACATATAGAGGTTTGTAGATTTCACTTATTAAGACGGCAAATGTATTTTTCAATATTTGTAATGCATTAAGAAAATAGTAATAATGTGTTTTATAAGGAAAATGGAGAGTGCAGTTCTTAGTTTGTCGTTTTTTTATGTGATTACTTAAATCTTTAGATTGGATTAGATATAATAAGTTTCACCCTTAAGCTACCCGGATTATATACTGTTACGAACAATTCGCTGGATGATGAGGTAACAGCCAGGATAAGATCCTGGGAAATGTTAAATCTAATAAAGGAATTACATTAATTCCAAAAGCACACATGAAGCGTTTTGAGTGGAAATTGGAAGTTCATCTGACCGTAAAGACATACCTACTCTATATAGTTGCAAAACATATCTGGTGCATAAATTAAAAATGCAATAGTGTAAGAATTAGGCTGGCGCACTTTAACATGTTGTCATTGGAGAATCGCAGAAAATAATTGATATATCGTTTGCAGTTAAGATATTTAACAATCAGATAGATTGCCCGAACCTCCTATCTAAATTTAAGTTTTGTGTACCCTCTCGATACCCCAGACATCCCATTATTCCATTTGTCCCTCCTTTTCGTAGAACGCGTTTTGGTCAAAGCTCACCGATGTCCAGATTAAGCATTCTTATAAACGAACTAGGTCTGGATATACTTAGTTGCTCCCCTCACACTATAAAATCGATTTTTGTTTAGTTTTTTGTATTTTTTTATTAGTAATTGTTTTTTTTTTGTAATGTTTGTTTTGTTTAATCATTGGTTTGATATTTTTATGATCTCTACATGTATGTCATGTTTGCCTTTAAGTGCTTGTCGCATTAAAATTTGTATTTGTTGTTTTTACCATTGTGTCAGTGTACCGAGCGTTGGCAAGCCTTTTTATCAATAAAAAAAAAGAAATTAAAACTACACCATTTGTTTAAATTAAAACCTAGTCACATTCAGACAAAGGTGGAGCTTTGAAAATTCAATATTTTCAGTAAACATTAATATCACAAATATGGTTAAAAGCAATAATCCGTTGGACTCAAATAAAAATATAATAGTTTAAAGCATTTCTCAGTCTCCATTCACAAGTGAAAATTGTATAAACCGGAGAAAATTGAAAAATACTTTTAAAGTTATTAAACGAAAACTTCCAACTTGGATAGCTAAACAATGAATTATAGGATTAATTTGAATTTTTCAAATATTTTATGATAAACTTATGTAAATGTCTTATTTTAAATACAATAATCATTGTTTTTTTTAATAGTTTATAGAAATATACAAATAATATTTTTGTATAAGTAACCTATTCATGTGTGGCTGTACTAAGGGTGTGTTGCACAATGTATGGATAAAGTACAGTCGTGAAACAGTCGTGAAACGCAACAATAGTGCTTATCCTACCAATAAGTACTAAATATCTAATTTGGAACTTATGTAGAACTTATCCGTACATTGTGTAATAGACCCTTAGTGTACTAAGTTTTGAACTGAAGGAAATTATAAGTAGTATATTAATAAGAAAACAAAGATTATGGATGTTGTGCATAATGCCAAAAACTTAACGTGGAAGTGGAAGGGACTCACTTCCATGAACAAGAACAAACGAAAGAGCGGTTGTTCTTGCACAGTGAACTGACGAACTTCAAGATGTTGGTGGTGAAAATTGGCAGAAAAGTGCTTAAGATAGAGCCTATTGGAGGACGTCTACACGCTTTAAGAAATCCTTGAAAAATAAAATGTTATAATTATACTGAGTATTATAAAGAGCAAAGATTTGACTGTTTTTTTGTTTGCATTGAATAGGCTCCAAAACTATAGAACGGGTTAGTAAAGTCTTTCGCCATTAGAATCCTCTATTAACCCTGATGGACTGGAATAGATAGAATATTTTCAAAATCTTAACGTTCCAAAGTTAATCGACGTCAATATCTATAAAATCCACACGTCACATGAAAAACATCTTTGTTAATTTAAAGCTTTCAGCTATAGAACATAGTTCTCGTTCATTATAGTATCGTATAATTTGATGGCAGCATCTTACTCTAAGACATTTTCGTTTCATCATTGAAAATAATTCTAGGATTAATAAAATCCATCGTTCACCAATTGAGTGAACCAATTACACATATCCTCGCCTTGTTAAAACTTATTGTTTGTACAACGTAATCACCCCAAATTACACACCACAGCGTGGGAGACGGTGAAACTTACCTATTATTTGTTTCGTGTGATTAATATTGATAGTATTTCCGAATCATGTAAGGCTTGTTATATATGAAATACCACCACAGCGTAGTGGTTAACGAAGGTGGTGTATAATTCAGTCCTAGGTTCGATCGATGATGAATTCAATAATGTTTCGCAATAAAACTGTAAAGTTTACGTGCTTCTAAACACTGTGAACATAAGTGGTAGGTTTATAAGACAATTCTTTAACGGTTATTACATAGATTACTGCAGAATTAAGTTTAAAAAATCGCAAAGATAACCCACGTGCTTTAAATAGCGATAAATGGAAGGTGTTTTTGACTACCTATATAATTTATGTTATACATCTATTTTTTATCTGTTATACTGACAAATTTAGCTAGACTAGGTCCATATGGTATAGCTTAATTTGAACTTAGCCTTAAAGAAAATACATACAAAAATGAAGAGAATTTGTTTAACTCTAAAACAATATTTAAATATAAGCTTATGTATGATTCGTTTCGAAATTCAAACATACTATTAAAAATCAAGTATTAGACATTACCTTTTGCCCCAGAACTGACTTGGCACTGATATTTTGCATCATCGTCTAATGTTACGTCGCGGATGTCCAGTGAATAGTCACCTGAAAATGAAATTAATTTGAAAAACATTATATAGGCACCTTGAGTGCAGTGGTTAAAGCCGATCTTTAATACCCAAACCCCAGTAAACCAATGGATATTTCTTTCCACGCAATAACAACGTAAAGTAGAAAAACATCGCGAGAAGCCGTACGTTTTGTGAATGCTAATCAAACTTATATCTGATTTCAAAAGTTCTCAAAAAAATTCAGTATAAAATTAGCGTTCACGAGAAATACGGTCCTCATACAATGAAGTCGCGTCCCGTCGTAAAAAGACCGCAACTAGAATAAATGCGAAGGAAAACAGATGGAAAATTTCTTTATTATGTGTCATATATATAAGGTGAAAATGTATGCCATTCGGTTACGGGCTAACTCAGCTTGAAAGCCAAGTTTAAATTCAAGACGTTTTTGTTTTGGTTTAGCCTTTTACTTGTAAAATGTAAATTCCTTTATCATGATGCAACTAGGTCATAATTATACCTGCTCACTAAGTTTCTCCAGGGACCTACTTAGTGCTTAGACTAATATTACACTGTAAAATAATTGCTATTTTAAGTTGAAACATTATACAGTGTAATCTTAACTGTATAAGGAAGAGTTTTTTTTTTTACGTTTAACTTAAAATAAAAATGTTCCTTATTCAAATTCATCGTATTTGAAGAATTAATTTCGCACTTGATACAGCCGGAGTTTGAACGCAAAATATCAGATCGATTTACATTACTCGCTAAGTCTTAATACTGTTCTTTGTCTAAACGCACGTAACATAATATGCGTTAATGAATTTTGTTCGGATGGCTACTCTACTTAGTGTCTTGATTATCAGGTTCGACGGCAGATCCTGAGATCTCGGGTTCGAACCTGGGTAGGGGCAAAAATTATAAAAAACGTAGCGATTTCCTATGTAAAATTGATATTGCCTAAGCAAGGTACGAGTGGTTACCCATCAATTATGTATATGATTTCGTAATACCGTTTACTTAGACACGTAAATATTATCATCACATACAATTTCACTTCTCACCTTCGAAAATAATTTAAACGTATATGTTGTGTTCTACTTGTTTATGTTATAAACGTTTCTAACGGAAGCTTGTGGGTACTTAAGGCACGCGTTGTCCCGGTATAAGTACCCGCTGCAAACTTAAAAGTTACGCGTAGTATCCAAGTTGTATATGTATTAGTATATTTAAATATAGATAATTTATTTTAGGCAAACTAGCAGGCAAGAGCAAGCATTACTTAAACTTAATATAACGGCATTTAGCTAACAAAGGTCCGAAGTTTGCTACGGAGCTTACAACCTCGAAAACTTGTGACGAAACTTAGCATGTTTGTTGCTGACTGGTGTCAGCTCATTTAGTTATCTTTAGGATGTCATTAATTGGTATCGTAATTTTGTCTATTTTAAGTATATTTGTCCGAAATCCGTTGTATATTTTTGCAGTTTTGATATTTAGGAGTCAGAGGGTGTCTTGCTAATGACTGCTATTTAGCATTTGAATCAGAGACCTATGTATATCAACCAATTTTCTGTGTCCTTGTTAATTGATTACATTATTGATGACTACCTGTTTTATAGAAGGTGAAGCGTCAGTTTTTAATTGAAATCTATCAATCTTCTACTTCATAAATTAATTGATTGAATACATTATGAAAACAACTCTATTCAACAAGGCGGGAAAGGCGCGAGCCCTCTGGCATTGAGAGTGTCCATGGGCGGCGGTATCAGTTAATATCATATAAAAAAAAGGAAAAACTTTATAATCACTCTTACACTGGTAAAGAGTTAGATGCAATATGTTTAGTCAAAGTCAAAGTCAAAGTCAAATCGTTTATTTCAATTAGACCATCTAAAATGGCACTTTTGAACGTCAAAAAAAAAAATATAAAGATGATTCTAGTTGCCCTTCCAAAGGTATTTCGTGTGGAGAAGAATGGGCAAGAAACTCCACACTTACTCTTTTAAAATAGGTTTACAATATTTTGTTAATTTGTTAAATAATTATATGTGAAGACAATGTACTTTAGAATAAACTACTATACTAAAAAGTTAGTATACATGTTCCTCACATATTTACAAATATCGAAACCTTAGAATATTAACATTAAAGAGTAATAAAAATATTAAAAAAACACAACAAAACAGTGTGTGAGATACAAAAAAATAATTACATTTGTAGCATTATATAAATTAAAAAAATAATAATAATAATAATAATAACAAAAATTAACATATTTTTTTTTAGCAAAAAATCAGCAACCAATTTGATTTTGTCCAGCTATAGAGCCAATCATAGGATTGTCCTATGGAGCAGGACCAGCATGTTTCCAAGCATTTTACTTGAATATAATCATCTAATTTGTAATATGCTTGTTTACAAAGTGTACTTTTAATAAAACATTTAAATTTTCTCATTTAGTTTTAAAATGTACAAGTATTTTATTGTAAATTTCAAAGTACCCCATAAATGAATTTTGAACTTTGGCTAATCTGAAAGATGTTGAGCTATTTTATTTTATTTCTAGTACTAAAATTATGTCTTTCATTTATTTTACTAAAAAGATTAGATTCTTTCTTACGTACATAATATTTTCATAAATGAATTGGCAAGGTACTGTCATAATATTAATCTTTTTAAATAGTTCCCTGAGAGATTCGCAACGACGTAGATTATAAATGGCTCTGACCGCTCTCTTTTTGCAAAATAAAATGGATTCTATGTCAGCAGCCGACCCCACAGTAAAATGCCGTAAGACATTATGCTGTGAAAGTAGCTAAAATAGACCAAACGCGCAGTTTCTACATTGGTTAAATATCTTATCTTTCTAACCGCATAACGGCTGAGCTCAGCCGCCCCGCAAGAGATGTATATGAGGTCCCCATTGTAACTTCTCGTCTGCGTGATGCCTAGGAAAACCGTTTGATTAATAAATTCCAGTTTTCCTTCATCAACATTATGTCACATTCCTTACTTTTAACATTGGCAACGTAAATCTAATAATTTATTTTTTATATTCAGTGCCAAATTGTTTACCGTAAACCAATTTTGGACCCGAAGAATAGAGTTATTCACGTCGTCACGATTTTGTGACCGTCGATCTACTTTAAAAATCAATGATGTGTCATCTGCAAATAACACCATCTTGTTTATTCTGAACTAATTGGGGTAAATCATTTATGTATACTAAAAAGAGGAATGGACCCAATATTGAACCCTGAGGAACGCCCATTGTTATTTCAGACCCTAACGAGTTTATGCCGTTAACCTGAACTTTAACCTGTCTGTTTTTCAAGTAAGATCTTAGTAAGTCCAGAGTTTGTTCTTAATCCGTAGTATTAAGTTTCAGAGAAGAGTTCATGGTTTACGCAATCGAACGCCTTCGAAAGGTCGCAAAAGATTAATGGCATTTGTGCTTCCTCCCAGCGTTAAAAATGTTCTGAGGAAACCGGCTAGTTGTACAACGCCCTTTGGTGAAACCGTAGGTTTGAAAGATGATTTTATTAAAGTGACATAACATTTGATTGAGCATTAACTTTTCAAAACCTTACTGAGACTGGCAGAATTGAAAGTATAATTATTGGTTTTTATATCACGGATTTGAACAACGAACTACTTTACTTTCATGAGATCCGAAAGACTTTGGTCTATGCTGGTTTAAATATGAAAGCTATAAGGAATAGTTTCGATGATAGAACTAAGACTTTTACAGACAATCCCCAAAGATCTTTGTAGATTTAATTTTAAGATCTTTAAAAGCTTTCATAACAGCCTGGGGTTTGTAATTTGAAATCGAAACTCCGTAGGGCATGCCCTTACATTCTTCGTAAGTAACGCAAAAGAAAGTGGGATGATGAACTTAAAGCTTGTATTTTAAAGGGAATATTGATAAAAAGTTTTCAAATCCTGAGCTATTCGATTGAGTTTATTGGGCAGGAGTCTCTAAGTTAAATTCAGTATACGTCTACCATTCATATATGCGGGTATTGATGGATTTTATTTTATTATAAAAAGTGATTAGCAATTTTGAACATTTTAAAAGTTTTTGAATATTTCGCAACAGTGATGAAGTTTGTATTTACATGTTGCTTAGGCCATAAGTCAAAGTTTATCCCTGCTCTTACGAAACCTGGAGTGCCAATCACTAAATAGAACTTGGTGTAAATACTTTTTGTCTTTTGTGGAACAATGTCATTAATTGCGATTTTAACAAGGTAAAAACTCCGATAGAACTATTAGGTCCCAAATATTATTAAAGTTTTGAACACACAATTTACTGGTCAAGGTATTATTTAATTTCTCTAAATTTTTAATGTAAGGCCTAACCTTATTTGAATTTTTTGTACAGGTATTAGGCACAAAACGTTATTGTTTGTCCACTGTGATCAGAAGGCAATTTATTAACAATTTCTTTATGTAAGTAATCACAATTACAAAAAATATTATCTATACAAGTGGCAGAAGAAGCTGTCACTCTAGTTGTTCCTTAAAAACATTAGACAGATTAAATGATTTAAAAGACTTATTAATCTGATACTATTTGATTGTTTCTAATAAGTTAATATTAAAATCACCACTTATGATGATTGAACAAGTACTAAGTTTTTAACAATCTTCCATACAGAATCAAATACAGATAGATTCTGATAGCCCGGAGGTCTGTAAACACATACTACAACATGCCTATCGAGCTCGACACAGGACAACTCTATAGAATGTTCAACTGACAATCTGATAATGTCTTTCCTTTCTTTAGATTTAACAGAATTTTTGATTAATATTAATGATCCAGTGTATCAACACTTCCGGCTGAAATAGCTAACTACACAATAATTTTCATAATTAAAGACATTATCTGATGATCATCTAACCAATTTCAGTTAAACAAATAATATCGAACTTGTTTTTCTAAAAACATTTTATTTCCAGTAATTTGGAAGAGCAACCTTGAATATTCTGATGAAATAATCTTAAAGTATGTTGCTTTCCTTTTGGTTTATTAAAACATGTTAAATTGCCAGAAGATACCTTTTTATTATCCACAAATAATAATTGATATTTAAACGTTAACTTCTGTTGTCTTACAGCCTAGTTTAAAGACTATCCGAGTGACCTCTACAGTTGTAGAATAACCTAAGGTATGTGTTCCAGAGGAAGAGTATACTCTATCTGACTGGTATTGGCCTCAAGTATGGTAAGGTGGACCCTCCTTCGTACAACATAGATATATATCAATCACTGTGTTGTTAGTGTAACTAGGCAACACAGTCTCGTCACTAATCTGAATTTGTTATATTAGCTATAACCTTGTTAATATTGTATGCTATTAACATAGCAATCAACCGTCTACATTCAAAAGACAGAGATAAAGTTCTCTGAGTTAACTTAGAACCACTAATAAACTTATTAGTGTCAAAATATAATAATTTGTCACTATGACGACATGTCAACATGTGAATAGTATTATTCAATTTAAAAATATGATTATTTTCAACCTCTGACAGAGTATCAGAGTAGGGAAAAGCACATAACATCAGCTTTCCTATGTTTAATTTTAATAAGGTCTGACACCATCCACTATGTCCTTTTTGGTAATACCAATGCTGTTACCTAGTAATAAAACTAAGGCAGAATAATTGTCCAGGTTTGAATTTTTAATTTGTTTAATTATTTGTTTAAAACTTATGTTATGGTAACTATGATTGGTAAAACTATGGCTAAGGTAATTATGTAGGATTTTTCCAAAGCCTGAACCTATTTCATCACAAAAGAAAATGTTTTATTTTTCTGTGTATCAACAACGGCCTTTGCTGTAAGAGCTAGCACCGGAGGAGATAAGTCAAGATTGAGCTGAGGAGGTGGCGGATGGCTCGCACTGGTGTTGAGAGATTGTTGGTCAGCGACTCATACATCTCAGCATTGCATTTCACCAAGTCCAGCAGCTCCCCAGCTTCAAGCAGGCTCACTAGTTGTTGTTGTGATATCTCATATTTCTCATAAATATTCTTCAGCAAGTCCTCCTTGTATAGTAAATCATGTTGGAGAAGCTGAGTATCAATATCATACTTTTCCCTACATTCCTCTAGCTGGACAATACAAGTATTTAATTTATTTGATAAAACTACCCGGTCTTTTCTAAGGGAAAGATTTAATTTTAAGAGATTATTTTTTTATTTTCTCTGTGACCTTTAATAGTTTTTTTAATTTTAATATATTTTTTTAATTTGTTGTGACTCATAACTATAGGACACAATGGTAAGGTGTCATCACCAGTCAAATCTATTGTTACAGCGGTAGTCATAATCAACACTAAAGAGGCAAAGCTGTCAATAGCTAGTAATAGTACACATACCTTCCTCATCACTCCCGATCATCTTATACCGGTCGTAGCCACTCAAATCCCTATGAAGACCTAACCCAAAGTCATCTTTTGTCCATTGAAGTTGACCTGCTTTGTTCTCAACTCTACATGGTAGAGTTACTCTTGATCCTATGACAGCAGTCTGTAAAAAATATTTAAAATTTATTGTTTTATTTTTCATATAATTTATGATTAAAGTTGAGGTCAACACACAAAAAGGTGAATGTACCACATAATTTTCTTCGCCGGCGGATGAAATTGGTACTACCGCCGCCATTTTGGTGCGTACAATAAATAATTTTACTATCTACCAACATCTAATTAAAATCCAATTGAAATACATTTATTTTTGTTCCTTCCATTATTTATTACAATGGCAAAGTTTTAATTATCGAATAGTTTTGATATTATATTAATAGTACAGGTAACAAAACCTATCATATCAGTTGTTGTTGCTAAGTTTGTGTCACATTTATTTAAGCCTAGAACTGTATTTTCTAGATGATAGTTTACATTGTTTTATAAAACATTTTAATAAATTATTAAGTTAACCTGCCTGTATGACTTCAAATTATTCCCCTTATACTGGTTATTTTTTATTTACTGTCAATACTTATACCCATGACAATTGACAGCGACGCTCTTACCGGCCAAGAAAAGTATGTGGCACTGTAGTCATATGATTTGTTAATTATTCAATATATATAGGATAAACAAAACAAAAACAACTCCTGATTATCGATAACAGTTTGAAAGTCTTGTTTTTAATAGCAAACTATTTAATATATTTCACGTAAGTCAGTAAAATTTCTCTTTTTCAGCAGTTTGGAGATCAATATGAAATCGGTTGTAAAAAATACTTCAATTATTATTACAAAATGATTATTTTAATTCAATAATTAGTCTTTAATAATTTATGTTGATTTGGATTCGGTGAGCAGTGCTGGCCTAGTGGCTTCAGCGTGCGACCCTCATCCCTGAGGTCGTAGGTTCGATCCCCGGCTGTGCACCAATGGACTCTCTTTCTATGTGCGCATTTATCATTCGCTCATATCAGAAGGTAAACATCGTGAGGAAACCGACATGTTTTAGACCCAAAAAGTCGACGGTGTGTGTCAGGCACTGGAGGCTGATCACCCACTTGCCTATTAGATTGAAAAATGATCATGAACGAGATTCAAAAATCTGAGGCCCAGACCTAAAGAGGTTGTAGTGCCACAGATTTTATTTGGGTTCGGTGACAGGTGATAAAAATAACTCAATAGATTATAGGTAAGCGAGATGATAAAATGACTCTTAAAGATTTTAGTATAAGCAAATCTTTGACCAAAATTGTATAATTTTTTTAAATAAATATAAATAAAAAAATTATTTGATTAAAAACATTACAGTGCATATTTTGAGTCCGTTAATAACCAGAAGAAAACTGCATATACTAAGGTGCTTTTAAAAGCTCCTAACTTAGTAACTAGTTTTCAACGCAAGACAAGGTGTCACTATTTAATCTAACAGTAATTCTGGGCTTCCTTGTAATTACGCCTCACTTAAAATTATCTACTTTATCACACTTTTATCGCCTACGTCTATGCCTACATAACGTCACCTGAATCTAAGTAAATTAATAAAATGTTGGATTAATAGCTTTGATAAAATACAGATCGGATGTTAAACTTGTATGATAAGTTTGCGTGGGAAATTGAACAGCTGTTGATTTATCTGTGTCTATTATTTTAACTTCTAGCGTTTATCTTTAGTCAAAATGTAAAGTGATTGAAGGTAATATTTTTAAAGGCCCTTTATTTATGAGACGTGTTAAAAATAACGAGAAACAAAAAACGTGTGTGTACTTATGTACACGCAGAAGTAATACTTGTTTGGCGTAACAAGATAAAATATTTTTCAAAAAGAAAACGTTTGTAGAAAAAACGACACTAACAATAGAAAAGACTAAAATGTTGACTATAGCTAACTTCAGGGTGTCGGTTTTTGTGAGGGTGTGCGCGCGCATCGTAAAAAAATACTATCATCATTTTTCCCTAACGCGCCAAAAGACGTATAACTTCAAAAAACAGAACAAAATCGCTGTTTTTAAACTGGGCAGAAAGTCTGCTTTAAACTCTAAGTTGCTGCCACCAGCAACTCTAATTATTACAAAGCTCTCAGTAAAGTTCTTTTAACACTCACTTTAATATATTCTAGTGTATGGTCTCGCTAAATCTATTAATATACAAAAGTACTCCTTAGTCATAAAACCTAAACCAGTTTAGACTGTTTCAACAAATTATTCGTCTCATTGTCTATGATGTGATAAAAAGGGACAGATATGAACGTCATTTGAAAAAATATAAGGATGTTTTTATAAATAAGGGTGTACTATTACCCGCTTATTCATAAAAACTGAATGACTTTCCAGTCTTAACTAAAGTACTCCTTAAGTCTCTTTCTGTCAAATTGTGATTAGTTTCTTTTATAAATTATATCTGTATTTATTTTATATTTCTTATTGCCAAATTATTTGTGTTATTTATTAATAACAAACCTCAATCAAGCCAAATCAAGCCAAGAACACATCGATATTTTTTGCTAGCTTAAATACCCACTAGAACAAGAATTACTCAAGAGTGTTTTTCGGTTCAACACACTGAAAAATCTGGTTCGAAATGTCACCTGGCTGCGCCTGGCCCTCGACAGGCACGAGGGGAACCGGATTGAGGAGGCCTATGTCCAACGGTGGTCAAACCAAAACCTGACAATGCAAGTAAATGATGGTTCCTAAATGTTAAAAGGTATTTTTTTAGAATCCATATAAATGAAACTTCAATGATCATAATTAAGTTTTGGAAATAAAGGCTTTTATTATTATTGTGAAATATATGTATGTGTTATTTCTTAATAAAAATAACAAATCGTGAGATGCTCATATCTTAATCACTACAAAGATTTTCCTCAAGTTTCATTTATAAATAATAGTGAAGCTAAAGTTGGTACATTCAATCTAAGTATTGCAAATCGTTTGAAGATGCAACTTCACATTAGAGTTGAGTAAAGAAGGCTTTGCTAAGGCTTACGGGAAAGTACAAACGAATTGAATTTCCTTTTTTAAAATGGCTTTGTGGCGCTGTAATATGATTGCAATAATTCTATAGAATTTGATAAATTGGTATAAACTGTGTTTTGAAGCTCTTTAAGCCTTAAGACACATGTTCGATTCTCAGTGCCGAAACAATTATTGCAGTAAATCGAACCTTGGACCTCCTATTTTACGTTATGAGTAACTAGTAATGCCAAGAAAGATTTAATTTAGTTATTAAAGCTATAATCATAATATCTATATATTTTTATATAATAATGACAAATTGGCCCATCTGATGTTAAGTGATATTTCCCATTCCCAGAAGGTTCGCAAGTGCGTTACCAGCTTTTCTTGACCCTCAGTTGTGGTTCGGATATTTTCATATATCTAGTTAGTTTATTGGGATTGTATTCGAATTTCAAAAGTATGTGAAAATATTCCTTCCTTCCTACTAGTAGTGCCTTCTACTTAATCTTTAAGAAAAATACACATACTAAATTTGTTTTTTAATACTCATTAACATCATAAACGTAAAATCCATTTCGACTCAATCAGCGCGAGATAATTAACAAATTAGAACTGAAATAACTAAACCGAATTTATCAAGTTAGCGCGATTATTTGCAAACTCCATTAAACCTACAATCCCGCAGCTAGTTCTGAAAATCTGAGTTATTCGTACTGGAAAATATTAAGGAATATGAAATTTTACTTAATGTCTGCCACTGATAGCTATGATATATAACGCATAAATGATGGTAATGGGGTGAATAGAGGTCCATTGGTGATCTATGTCCGTATCGGTTTAAAGAGAAAAGAGCATAAGTCTAGTAATTAAAGCTTTCGATTGTCAACTTTAAGATCGTGCTAACTCAGACCGTGAATTTTTTTTTCCATGAGAACAATTAAAGTAACTCGTAAAGCGGAAACACCATAAGGAAACCACAATGTATATAGATACCGGCAAACTTCTTGAGCATTAAACAATGGAGTAGGGATAATATTGCGCATCTCGGGACACAAACGTCAACTGATTTACCAATCACGACACCCACACGTTACTCTCCCGCCGCCCCCCCTCCCAGTGATACCTAAAAATCGCTTCTGCACAGACAAGGACATTTTTTCAAGATGTTTGCCGGTATCTGTAAGACTTATAAAAACTATTTTCTAAAATTATAATTTTTTTTATTATGATCCTAAACGGGACCAATTTTTTGTGTTCTCGGATTTTATTAAATGTTATTTTATTTACAACACCATAGCTCTTTCATATAATCAGAGTATGTTGATGCGCCTATCGTAGATAAAGAAAGATGCTAATAGCCTACTGCAAGTAGAAAGGGACCGTGTGATTAGTAGTAGTAGTAGTCAGTAATTGGAGGCGCGGGATGTTACTTTGTAAAACTTTATAAAACTTTATACCTATAAGCTAAATATTTGAAGTGGTTATATAGTGGACTGTATTTTTTCTTATTGTTACCTAATATGATTGCTCAATAATGGACAATGGGAAAAAGAAAGAAAGGATGACGGCACAGTACCTTCAACCTCGTGGCTTCTTCTAGTGGCTTCTTTCCTCTGTTGTACACCAATGACCAATCACTTTCACAAATTATAATTAAGTTAAAGTTTAATGAAATTAAGTATAGTTAAAGTTTATAATAAAAAAATTAAATGTTTAAAAAGGAAGCGGTGCGAGCGTGCGGCGATTAAACAACCATAACGCGGGTCATCAAAATTGTCACTAATTAATTCTTATTAGAGACTCATCGTCGTGCGCGCCACCTATAGCCCGTTCCGGAACTAGTACCGTCATAGGATTGGGACATAAAATAGGTGGGTGATGAGACATGCGTCTAGGAATTATTAGGATGGGTATATGTATTGAGCAACCATTATTTAAAATCAAAATTATTATAAAAATAACAATCCGGCGCAACCATTCCCCCGGGTTTGAAGGGTTGCCTTCAAGAAAAACTAGAAAGTAAATGAATAGCGATATGAAAAGCGATCTAAAGAAAAGTTTATTAAAGTAACTAACTTAACTAACGACTTATACAAATGTAA